CACCTCAAACATGGTCTTTCTGGAATCAACCCCACCATAATATTGCTAACTCTTTCTTTCTTTCTTTTTTTTTTGAGACGAAGTTTCACTCTTGCTGCCCAAGATGGAGAGCAATGGCGTGATCTCAGCTCACTGCAACCTCTGTCTCCTAGGTTCAGGTGATTCTCCTGCCTCAGCCTCCTGAGTAGCTGAGATGACAGGCGTCCGCCACCATGTCTGGCTAATTTTTGTAAATTTAGTGGAGACAGGGTTTCACCATGTTCACCAGGCTGGTCTCGAACTCCTGACCTCAGGTGATCCACCTGCCTCAGCCTCCCAAAGTGCTGGGGTTACAGGTGTGAGCCACCATGCCAGGCCCAATATTGCTAACTTTTAAGGGCTGTATTGTCCACCTCCACCCCCAAATTCGTATGTTGGAGCCCTAACCACACACTACTTTTCAAAGTGACTGTATTTGGAGACAGGACCTTTAAAGAGGTGATTAAGATAAAATGAGGTCGTATGGGTGGACCTTCATTCAGTCTGACTGGTGTTCCATAAGAAGAGGATATGAGGACACTGACATACACAGAAGGACCACGTGAAGACAAAGGGTGAAGATGCCGTCCACAAGCCAAGGAGAAAGGCCTTAGAGGAAACCAGCCCTGCTGACACCTCAATCTTGGGCTTCCAGTCTCCAGAACTGTGAGTAACACATTTCTGTTGTTCAATCCACCCAGTCTATGGAAATATGTTATCGCAGCCCGGGCTGACTAACGCACTAATCATCCCTCCCTTCTTCCTGTCACATTCATTACCAAGTCCCCTAGATTTCCTTCACGACCAACACCTGTATTTCTTTTCCATTCTTGCTGTTGCCTCCTCGCTGTGCACTGTGGCAGGTGGCCTTTGGCTTCGCTGTATGTATTCGACTGTTCTCTCATTGGTCCAAAGAAATATCTGAGACTGGGTAATTTATAAAGAAAAGAGGTTAATTTAACTGGCTCATGATTCTGCAGGCTGTACAGGAAGCATGGCAACATCTGCTTCTGGGGAGCTTCTACTCATGGCGGAAGGCAAAGGGGGAGCAGCCATCTTACCTGGCAGGAGAAGGACCGAGAGAAGGGGTGGAGGTGCCACACACTTTTAAAACAATCAGATCTCATGATAACTCTGTCAGGACAGCACTAGGGACATAGTGCTAAACCATTCATGAGAAGCCACCCCCGTGATCCAATCACCTGATGCCAGCCCCCATCTCCAGCATTAGGGATTACACTCCAACATGAGACAGCCAGGGACACAAACCCAAACTATGTCACTGTGCCTGCCATTCATTCATCTTGCTCAGGTCAGCAATCCACCCAAAAGATATTTGGAGACCCTAGGGCAATGGAAGGGCATAGTGAAAGCTGGGGTTTAGGATCGTTAGGGTCTCTACTCCTTGGGTGTGATGTTCAGGGACTTATCCTCTATCACCTGACCTTTCTAGATTCTGATTCTCCACTAATAAAAAGCATTTAAAAGGATACCCGTATTCTCACTCTCCTCTGAATCCAAAGTACTTTTTCAGCATGAAAATCGTATCTCGTGTAGTTCATTTTTCATTGCTCGCGTTTCAAGCTCCCAACTGGGCATATATGCTTCCCCAGTGGAGGCAGGATTCCCCTCTGAGGGGTTAATTCACCAACAGTGCCAGGCCCGGTGCCTGGTTCACATAGGTGCTTGTCTTAGGCTAGGCCCTTATGAGGCCATCATCTGAGTAAGAATCCTCATGTAAGCGTCTAAAAATATCCTGACGCTTACATGAGGATTCTTACTCAGATGATTTATTTCTGGTTCCACGGGAGTAAAGTTGAGTTGGGGAAGCATTAGGTAGGAGGGGTTGTAATTTTAGGTTAAGTTCCAGGGTGCAGATTCAGTCGGATTGCCCAGGGTGTCTCTGGAGTGCACGTTTTTCCTTTGTCCCCGGGGCCCAGGGAGCAGGGCTTTCTCCCTCCCACATCTGTCAGTCATCCCCTCAGGGCCACGCCCACTGTGGGTATGGGCACTCCTAGCCACTTCCGGCTTATGTATTCTGGCAGCCGTGTTTCTGGTACCCCAAAGGCAATCCTCGAAAAAGGAGTGGCACTTCTGGACTGTTGGAAACCTAAAGCGCACTGAAGCTGGGGAAAGATGCCTCTAACCTGTAAAAGGGATCGGCGGGGATCTGGGTGGCACGCTCCTAGTGTCCGCCGCAGCCACGTGCGCATACGTCCCTGTTGTTTCATCCACCAGAGCAGTGGCTCAGGTTGGGGATCCCTTTGCTCAGTTTCGCACTTGCGTTGTCCTCTGTGGCTTTTTGTTTTGTGGGTATCTCCTGTAAGTTGTCCTTGTAACAGCAGAGGTCTCAAGTGCTGAGCAGCGTGAACCTTTTTGACGTGGCAAAATACTGTATTATTTTAGGTGTTTAACCTTTGACCCCAATCGTTTACATTGTAGAACTCTCCCCGTTTTGCCAGTTTTGCCATAAATTGCCTACATTATACTCGGCCACGCTGATGTCAGCTTGCCTATTTCCCTGACCTTTGGAATTCTGTGCTTCTTATTTTCAATTTTTCCTCTTTCTTTCATGCTATTTGTTTTCTATCACATACAGTTTAGCATTTTTGTCATTCTTAAAAGTAATAAATAAATGCCGGAGCATGCACACACTTGTTTAGCCACGTCATCAGAAAGCTACGTAGGTCTTACAGTTTAACATGCAGTACTAAGTTGAAAAGAGGTGATGTGTTTAATGTTACAACAGAAATCCTAAGATTCATTTTTAAAGATTAGTGAGTGCCTGCTTAGAAACATTTCCTGTTCTTTTGAAGCGACCCTACTTACTTGTTTGACTTGTTTAAACCATCCAGGCTATAGTATTTTGTTATGTCCGAGCCGGGGCAGGACCATTGAAAAGGCTGCTCCAACCTGAGAGAGGATTCATAGTTTATTAAAAAGTGTGTTTGCTGCCGGATTGACAGGCCATATTCAACCATAGAGTCCAGCCTCTGCTCCTAAGCATGTAGCCCAGAGTGAATAGCTGCACCCCACAAATGGTGATAAGAACGTTCTCTTGGAAGTGTGCAGAGGCTGCTTTTGAATGCTGCAGTTTTCTGGTTGGTGACAGGCCGTGGGTCTCTGGGCCTCCCTCACTGTCCGCCCCTGCATTTAAAGCATACTTGAGAAAATGATGGAAAGCACTTTCTACATCCAGCTTCTTCTGCTCAATGCTGAGACTCAGACAGTAGCTTACTGTCACTGCCTTTTGTGTCTCCATATTATTTTAGTGTCGATTAGGGACTAATCGCATGGAGTTGGTGGGGTGGTGATAGGTAGGTACTTGGATATCCCTTTTGCTGGACATTTCAGTCCATTTACAGATCTGCTGCTCATGTCTTGCTGGGAAAAGATAGGCAATGCCAAGAGCTAAGCATTTGGCAGATACTCACCTCCTGGTTGAAAAGAACCCTTTGTCTTGCTGTTTGATGCTGTGAAAGAGAATCCTCAAACTGTCAGAAAGAAAAGAGAAAGCATTTTACCTCTTTGTTTTGAAAATATAGATTGCTTGAGAGATTTAAAGTTATGAATCTTGGTCCTTTGCTGTCGACGCTAGGACTGGACAACCTTCGAACCGTGATGTTCAATCTCCCATCTCAGGCTGGAGCCTCCTCTCTACTTACCAATTCCAGTTGTAAAAATCTAAATAAAGAAAATGGATAACTGTTTTAAAGAAGAAATACTCAATTGTTTTCACATAGAAAGCTTTTTAAAGCATAGTTTAAAATTCAGTCCACTTTCAGGATATTTTTAGGCTCTTGAGAATGTTCCAGATCGCTGACTCAGTAAGCCCAGGCTCTTAAAAATGCATGTTTTTAAACTCCACAATGTGACATTCATTGTCTAAGTTCCTTGCCATTTGAGCCTCATCGTATATTCTGAAGTCTGCCTTGGCTTCCTAGGGACTGTTCCTGGCCTGGTGGAGCCCCACATACTCCCCCACTCAAATCTGATGATGGGGTAAGTTCCTCGCATAGTACAAAGAGAAGGGGCCCAGGAGTGGCATGCAAAAGAATAGAAAGTTACTGTGTTTATGGCCGTCAGAACCAAAAGTGCTTCTGAACAAATGAAATCTAGCCTCCTAGCTTTCTAGAAGAAGAAATCAAAGCCCAGGGAGGAGAGGAAAGGGAACTTGCCAAAGGTCCCACATAGCCCATTTGTGCCATGTCCTCAGCCTTCCTAGGCAGAGGGGACTCCAGGGGTGTGGATGGGTCATCTCCCTTTTGATTTGATATAGTCCCTAACCAGGCATCTTTCTTTGGCCCAATTAGGTTTAGTCATGGTAGTAGGATTGGTTTTTTTTTTTAATACAATGGCTGCTAGGAGTTGGTAACTTAATATTTCCTGATATGAACTATATATCTAATAAAGATATATTAATGTTATTCTATGGGCTATTTAAAATTTACATGTATGGCTGGGCGTGGTGGCTCATGCCTGTAATCCCAGCACATTGGGATGGCAAGGTGGGCGGACCACCTGAGGTTGGGAGTTTGAGACCAGCCTGAGCAACATGGACGAACCCTGTCTCTATTAAAAATACAGACTTAGCCAGGCATAGTGGTGCATGCCTGTAATCCCAGCTACTTGGGAGGCTGAGGCAGGAGAATTCCTTGAACCTGGGAGGTGGAAGTTGCGGTGAGCTGAGATCACATCATTGCACTCCAGCCTGGGCAACAAGAGCGAAACTCTGTCTTTAAATAAGTAAATAATTAAATGTACGTGTGTGTGTGTGTGTGTGTGTGTGTGTGTGTATGATGTTCATGCAGTCAGCAATATGCAAAGCAAAGAGCATGGCTTTCAGTAGTTTGGGCATTGTAGCAACAGAGATCGCTTTCCACTTGGGGACTGGATGCCACCAGATGGGTCAACAGATTCTCCTTTCTTATGAACCTTCGAACATTGCAGGGATTATTTGGGTGTTGTCATAGTTACCTGTACTGGTGAATTCCCCCTGTAGCCTTGTCCTCCTTGTGTCTTCTTATGGAAGGTCCTTTTGGGATCCGAGGGTAATATGGAGACAGTTTAGAGCCTGTTCTTGCCAGAAGGACCTTAGATCTCATGATTTCTTGCTCTTGAGACAAAGTCTGGATTAAAGAAGGAAACTCTCCCAAAGATTTTACAAATGAAACCTGTTATCCTGGCTTACAGTGTCTTCCCCAGTCTCTTCCTAACCCCACCACGTCAGCATCAGAGCAACCCACATCCCAAGAAAGACAGAAGAGGTTTGTCTTCTGTGGTTTGTCTTTCTTGGCCCTTTCAATAACCATGTAAGTCAGTGGTTCTCAAGGGTGGTCCCAGGACCACCTGTTACCTGGGAGTTATTAAAAGTTATTAAAAGTTCAAATCATGCTGTCCCACCCGGATCTACTGAATCAGCAACTGTGGAGATGAGACCCAGCAGTCTGTGTTCCAACAGGTTGTCCAGGTGATTTTTGAGAAGAGCTGTTCTACATAACCACTAATTAAGCCATAATTTCCAATCTCTTAAGTCTTCTTCATACTCCTATAATTAATTTGTTTGCTAATAAACATTAAAAACATCAGATTACTTAATTTTACATATTAAATAATGAAAATAACATGAAACTATTATGAGATCATATCACATTAGGTATCGAAAGTACACATGTGCAGGTTTGTTACATGGATATATTGCCTGATGCAGAGGTTAGGGCTTCAACTGAACCTGTCATCTGAATAGTGAGCATAGGACTCTATAGGTAGTTTTTCAACGCTTGCCTCCCTCCCTCTCTCCCTTCCCTTTTTTAGAGTCCCCAGTGTCTACTGTTGCCGTCCATGAGTACCCAAAGTTTAGTTCCTTCTTATATGTGATGACATATGGCATTTAGTTTTCTGTTCCTGTCTTAATTTGCTTAGGATTATGTCTTCCAGCTGCATCCATCTTGCTGCAAAAAGCATGATTTTGTTCTTTTTAATGGCTATATAGTATTCCATGGTGTACATGTACCATATTTGTTTTATCTAATCCACCACTGATGGGCACTCAGGTCTATTCCATATTTTTGCTATTGTGAATGGGGCATGTGTCTTTTTGGTAGAACAATTTTTTTCCTTTGGGTATAATATTGGGTTGAATGGTAATTCTATTTTTGATTCTTTGAGAGATCTGCAAACTGCTTTCCATAGAGGCTGAACTAATTTATGCTCTCACTAGCAATGTATAAGCTTTCCTTTACTCCACAGACTGGCCAACACCTGCTATTTTTTGACTTAATAATAGCCATTCTGACTGGTGTAAGATGGTATCTTATTGGTTTTGACTCGCATCTCTCTGATAATTAATGATGTTGCATATTTTCTCATGTTTATTGGCCACTTGTATGTCTTCTCTTGATAAGCGTTTGTTCATGTCCTTTGCCCACTTTTTATGTGGTCGTTTGCTTTTTTCTTGTTGATTTGTTTGTTTGCTCAAGTCTTAGTCCCTCGGGTGTCATCATCATCTTCCTCAAGCCCAGCTCTCCTCTCTACTTCCTCCCCTGGAACTCCTAGCTAGAACCCTGAAAACAGCAAAAAGAAACATTTCCTGAACACTTGCTGCAAATCAGACACCATGCTCGACATGGACGATGCAGAGACACAGGCCAGCTGGCCACCGCATGTCATTCATTCTAAGTAGCACTTTTGCTTTTTTTAGAAAATGTTAACATCTCTGAAATCAGGGTATGCCTTACCCCTCAATAGTCCATTGGCAGGTTCTTTTCTTTCTTAGAGATACATAAAATAATGATGCATTTTACAACCATGTCATCTTAGGCTTGTTGGAATATGATAGTTTCTTCCTTCAAGGAGCTTAACAGTCTGCCTTCAGGTGAGGCAAGAGCACAGTAAAAGCTAAGTCAGAGCACGCCCTGTGAGTCAGGGAAGGAGCACTTCCCTCTATCTCAGAGCATCAGAGGGTTCTCCCTGATAGGGGAGGATCGCTACTAGAGTTTGAAGGATGAGTGGATTTTTCTTTTTGTCCTTGCTGTGTCGCTCAGGCTGGAGTGCAGTGGCATAATCATGGTTCATTGCAGCCTCCATCTCCTGGGCTCAAGTGATCCTCTCACCTTGGCCTCCCAAAGTACTGGGACTACAGGTGTGAGCCACTGTGCCCAGCCAGATGAGTGGAATTTTAATAGGCAGAGGAAGTGTGGAAGGGCATTTTACTCTCAGGGACCTGTATAAGCAAAGACCAAGAAATTTGCAAAGGTGCGGCTGGTAGGAACCACCACTTGGAAAGAACTCCTTGCTGTTAATTTTCCAAAGTATTGCCTGACTGTTGTAACCAGCAGCTGCTCCAGGCCTTCCAAGTGCATTCTGTCACCTGGGCTGCCCCTTAGCACTTTCCCTTGGTCCAGCAACTAAGGGGTTCACGTGGGCTGAGCCCAGAGCCTCCGGGTCCCTCTGATTGGTTGGTTGGTGCCAGGCTCTTCCCTCTGTTAGAGGTTGTGCAACAACCCTGGGGGCTGATATAGCAAGAAAACCTCCCTGAAGCCAGATCAGAGAATGACAGACAGGCACTGTGGGCCAGGACTCTGGCCGCCAAATCTTTAAAATTGTGCCCTTTCACATTTGCTCATGCATCCTAAGTAACTGTGTGTTTATTTATTAATGTAAACAGCTATTACTGTGCCATTATGTAAATCTAAAACATATCCCAGAATAGAAGTTTAAAAATGAGATAAAAACAGGGCCGGGCGTGGTGGCTCACGCTTATAATCCCAGCACTTTGGGAGGCCAAGGTGGGTGGATCACAAGGTCAAGAGATCGAGACCATCCTGGTCAACATGGTGAAACTCCGTCTCTATCAAAAGTACAAAAATTAGCTGGGCATGGTGGCGAGCGCCTATAGTCCCAGCTACTCAGGAGGCTGAGGCAGGAGAATTGCCTCAACCCAGGAGGCGGAGGTTGCGGTGAGCCGAGATCGCGCCATTGCACTCCAGTCTGGGTAACAAGAGCGAAACTCTGTCACAAAAAAAAAAAAAAAAAAAAAAAAAAAAGAGATAAAAACAAATAGAATTGAAGGTGCTCCACGGTGTCCACAGTAGCCATGCCTTCTCTCACCTTGCCAGAGACCACATGCTTCCCGTCCAACCACTCAGTCTTGGGAGTGCAGATGAAAAATGGGGAACCATTTGTGTCTGGTCCAGCATTTGCCACTGATGAGATGCCAGGACCTATATGCTTTAGGATGAAGTTCACATCATCAAATCTCTCCCTGTAGATGGACTTGCCACGAGTGCCATTATGACATGTAAAGTCACTGCCCTGACATAAACTCTGGGATAATTCTGTGAGAACAGGAGCCCTTATAACCAAATCCTTTCTCTCCAGTGCGCAGAGAATGAAAGTTTTCTGCTGTCTTTGGAAACTTGACTGCAAACAGCTCGAAGGAGACACGGCCCAAGGGCTCATGATCTGTGGCAATGTCGAAGGACACGGTGGGGTTGACCATGGCTGATAGAGGCGGCAGCGGCCTCTGCAAAAGCTGACTTTCTTGAGTTATACAGGAAGGAGTTATATAGGATCCGAACCCAGGAACGTCTTGATGTAGAATCTGTGCTCTAAACCACTGGCGTCACTGCCTGAGACTGCTGGGAGAATTGATTTGAGCTCCATGGTGCACTGTTGGTCCACTAACAAACTCCCAGCCCACCCACCAGCTCATCAGCAGCACCTTGGACCAAAGATTTCCATGCATCTTGGAAAGGCACATGGTCCAGATTTTTTCTAAAAACTGACATGGAGGTTTTTTTTTCCGGCCTCCTTTGTTTTCCGGAACAGGTTTGCTTTAAATATTAAAGGGAAAAAGTCTAGGACTATAGCTCCACATCTGCCTTCATTACCACTACCTCGTCAGTGCTGAAACACACATGCATTGAATGTGTAATCAGTATGTAACTGGGGGTCCGTGTGGCCTGGGCTATGCATGATGTGGGTTCAAAGAAACAGCAGTTTTTTTGGCCCATCTCCTTCTTCCAGAAGAGCAGTGAAAAGTACCTTCCAATTTTTAGTCCCTCAAGAAACCCCTAAAGATCAGAGGGAGGGGAGGAATTATCTTGATGCACCAGAAATCACCTTAAAAACCTCATCCTCCATGGAGCACAGCAGCTCACACCTGTAATCTCAGCACTTTGGGAGGCTGAAGAGAGAGTTCAGCCTAGGAGTTTAAGACCAATCTGGACAAAACAGTGAGACCCGGCTCTACAAAAAAAGTTAAAAATGAGCTGGGCATGGTTGGATGTGCCTGTAGTCCCAGCTACTTGGGAGGCTGAGGTTGGAAGATCGCTTAAGCCCAGGAGATTTTGGCTTCAGTGAGCTGTGATCACACCATGGCACTCCAGCCTGGGCCACAGCATGAGACCCTGTCTCTTAAAAAAAATTGTCCTTATTGAAGTGATTGTCAGTATCTTCCATGCTACTGCAGCTGGTTTCCAAAACTGTCTCATCTTCCGTGCTCTCAGCTCCCAATAAACCCATCCAAAGTGCAGTTCTTCTCTTCCAGCAGCTCCTCGTTTTTATGTTCTTATCCAAGTAAGTCTTGGCCTTGTCCAAAGCCAAAGTCCCATGACCATAACTCCAATTCTGCCTCTCTTTTCTGGCCACTGCCTCTGGGTCGCCAAACCCAAGGGACAAACTGGCAAAGACAAAAGTGGTTCTAAGAGGAAGAGGGAGAGAGAAAGGGTGTGAAAACCCACACATCACAAAGTCTTGTTCCAGATGAAAATGCAGGAATAGGCCAGGCGCGGTGGCTCACGCCTGTAATCCCAGCACTCTGGGAGGCCAAGGTGGGCAGATCACAAGGTCAGGAGTTTGAGACCAGTCTGGCCAAGATGAAACTCCGACTCTACCAAAAATACAAAAATTAGCTGTGGGTGATGGCATGCACCTGTCATCCCAGCTACTCAGGAGGCTGAGGCAGGAGAATCACTTGAACCCAGGAGGCGGAGGTTGCAGTGAGCTGAGATCGTGCCATTGCACTCCAGCCTG